GTGTATAAGAGACAGCGGGTGGAGAGAATAGAGAGGAGAAGTACGTGGTCAAGATATACGGATGGAGTTGAACAACCTGTTGAACGTTGTGTGGAGTGTGATCCCATTCTATGTGGGTATTCTTATCGGGTACCTCTCGGTGACGAGGTGGGGTATCTTGACGAAGGGGCATTATGAAGGCATGAACAACTTGAACTCCTTCTTTGTGCTCCCAGCATATGGTTTTCTTATCCTTGCAACGGCTGACATGTACAAAATGAACCTTCACTTTGTTGTTGCTGACACAGTTGGGAAATTTGCCCTTCTCCTTCTCCTAGCTTTCTGTATTCGGTTTGTTTTTCTGTCAGAGTACACTTTTGTGAAACAGTTTGAGTGGTGGGTTACAACTTTTCAGTTGGCCACTTTGATGAACTGCGCAATCATTGGTTTTCCGCTCTTGGAGGCCATGTACGGTCCAGATGCGATCACACTTGTGGCGCAGATCGTGGTTGTGCAGGCCGTTCTCTGGGTCCCGTTGACCGAGCTCGTGTGCGAGCTTTGCTACGCGCTACGCAAAGCCGGAGAGCAGCGAAGAGTGCACACGGATGGCATCGTCGCCGTAATGCCGCATGGCGAAAGTGTCGATCAGGGGAATACGGTGCCTGCTGGTCATGGTGAGCAACACTGCCATGTCATCGATGTGGCTGCCAGCGCGACGGAGGAACAGCCGCCGTTCGATGGTGTGCAGCTCCGGGAAAGAAATAATGGACTCCGAGGCGATGATGGAACAGATCGAAAGCCTGATCATGCATGTTGGAGCGTGACACAATGCCAGCAAGTTGTCAGTCCTGCCGATAAACCTTCCCCCGGCGCGATGAAGAAGGAAGAAACTTGTGAGGGGGAGGAGGAGGAGGGAAAGTGCAATGCAGCGGGAGCTTTGCCAGTAGGTGCTGCTGCAGTGTCCCATGGACAGAGTAAAGAAAATGCCAACATGGAGACGACCGATGTCGCCCGCTCTGTTGATTCGCAGCCAACTCTCGGCGACAACGAGAGGAAGGACGATGTCTCCGCTGTGGCATATCTGCAGAAAGAGGCTGAGCTGCAAAGTTTAGCTCTGGTTCAAACTCAGCCGAGGACTCAGACACAGGCTGGCAATGTGGATGAGGCGACGAACCAGCACTGCAGTTGTTATGATCATGGTGAGAAGCCACTGAGAAATCTTTTTTTTTTTTTTTCAAATGTATAGAGGGACTTGAGGGAGTAGGCACGCCGGAGAAAAATGGGAAAGGATAAAAGGGTAAAACAATTTGTTGGTGCTCTTGTGTATCTTTCTGGGGGGGTATCATAGGAAGGGCAAGGCGAGACCAGGACAAGAGGACAAAAAGAGAGTAAGCAAAAAGGGTAAAAGGATAAAAGGGTAAAAGGGTAAAAGGGTAAACACAAGGACAAAACGATAAAAGGGTAAACGAACGGATAAAACGATAAAACGGTAAACAAAAGGACAAAAGGATAATAAAAAGATAGAAGGGTAAACGAAAGGACAAACCGATAAAAGGATGAAAGGGTAAAACCGTAAAAGCATAGGATAAAAGTATAAACAATGTCCTTCAGGACATCCATTAAAATTGTGACAATACAGAGAAAGAAGATTAGCATGGCCCCTGAGCAAGGATGACACGCATAAATGGAGAAAAAATCATATTAAAAAAAAAAAGGGTACTTAACAAAAGGATAAAAGGGCTTGTATGATAAAGTTGTTGTTTTTCAACCCGAAAAACAAAAAAAATGATAAAAGGGTAAAAGGCAATTAAGTTTATCATCCCCCTGTGAGGCCCCAAGCTCAGTTGGTACACCCATGAACCATTGAAATACCGACCTGGGTTCGAAATTCGATTCCTGATGAATGAAATCAAAGAAACAAAATAATACCACAGATATGCTAAGTGCAAAAAAATGGCTCAAATGAGACCCCCAAACACGAAAAGAGAAGGGGGGGGGGGGGGGGAAAAAAAAAGGGAAAAAAAAAAAAAA